TAGTCAACTTACAGGCTTAATTACCGGCTTAACAGCAGCGACAATGCCTGCTGCTGTGAGCGACCTGCACTGCCCATTGTAATCCTCCTATCATTATCACTGTCGGGGGCTTGTCCGTTAGCATGTAACATGTAGACATGTAGGCTGTTAAAGTGACCGTTTTTTAATAGCTACACGGTATCTGGGAAGGACCTTTTGTCCATTGCTAAATAAAATGTGAAATTAGGCTAAATGAAAATATTTTATGATATATTTACCAATATAAGTTTGATGAATAATATCAAAAGTAAACATGTCCTTCTATGATCATATATTTCATCACTGTACAACTTGTAATGAACCTTTTCATATATATATGGGATGAAAGTTCTAAACTTATATAATTTTGTACACTTAATTCAAGGGTGGGCTCGAAATAGGACATTACGTTTTAGACTAACTTAGTGAATAACGCAATCCAAAGATTCCATGGTTCGTGTCAGATTTACATATGGTCGTGCAAAGAAAACCAAAGTCCACATAATGACCAGTTAAACGATTTATTCGTCGACGCTCGGAAACTACTCAGTGAAGTCTCCAACTCTTTACTCGTCTGCTCCATACTCCATTGCTCTCAGCCTCCTTCTTTGCTGCTGTCTTCTACATGTCTCCCTCTACGTGTCACCCCCTGTCTCCTAAAGTATCAGTTCTCATCGCTTAAATACTAATTTGTTATCTTACGTGGATCCAATGCTGCACTCTTGTGCGATGTATGTCAAATCTAATTACTTTTAATTGTAAAGTTAGTTTCTTTACTACGGCGTATAACAAAGAGGCCACCACAAGATATATAGGACTATAACACATTATGTCATATGATTTCAAAAGATATCTATGTCAGCCACGACAAACTGTTTCAATATGAAATGAGATCTCATCTTCTCTGATCATCATTAAAGATACATATGAACCGAGCATTGGTGGAACGTGGACTCTCAGTAACACATATAGGATTCCACTAGTTTCTTATACAACTTAAATAAAGTCGACATGCCAAGGGCTAAACTGAATAAATCACTGGATAATCCATAAAAGAGCTTTAGACTGTCCCTTTCTTTCTTTTGGTCAGAAATTTAACCTACTTATGTGACCTACCTTTCTGCCCCATGTATATACAGCATAGGAAGCAATGTCTTTTGGTAATTCTCTTAGTTATACTATTTAAACTATATGCTGGCATTTGGTTGGTTTTTGTGGCAAAAAATTGACTTCATATGCATCTTTATATAGTATTGTGACATTTTGGAGTCTTACCAAATTCATTTATTAAAATTTAATTAAATATCTAGGTTGTAGTAACTTCATAACTATTTGTTCAAATGAAAAGTTAAAAAAGATTCTGTATATAATATATCTGCATTTAATGTTCTAGATTATCTTGAGAGACTTAAGGGTTTAGGTCACAGGACCTCTTACACCCCATTTCCATAGATTAGATCGACCTACTTTAGATTGACCTAACTCCCTGGGGGTTCACCCTAAATAGCTGTCAGTCGGGCGGACACGAAAGTTAATTACCCCCTTAAAGCTTGTAGTAGGCAGGACGGACATTTAAGTCGGATTATCTGAAAGTAATCTAGTGAGACTCCCCGCGGGGATAGATCGATCTAAAATCTATGGGAATAGAGCCTTATTAAAGAAATGTGCAATCAAAATGCCTCATGTCCTCATAAAATGCTGGGTGTCATTTTGACATGATTTTTAAATTTGATTTAATTTCTCATTAAATGTTTTCATCAAAATTTCTTTTGTGGTTGAAGATGGCATCAGATGACCATAGCAAGACCTTGGACCTAAATAGGTCCAAGGCAAGACTAAACCCATATCATGATAGAGGAGAATATGAAGTAAAAAGTTCTAAGCTTTTGTAGTTACTGAGAAAACTTAAAAAATAGGTACCAAAATCATCTGGGAAGGACAAATTGATATTAAATATCCACTATTTCCTAATTAAATAACTCTTTATCAAATGCACTTGGCCAAATGCTGGAAATAACCTATAATTAATGTCTTTAGCTGTCATTATTAAATATAATCAATATTTTGAAAACCATATCAAAAATAAAAATTACCTTCCAAAACACTATTTTATAATTTTTCCAGAAAAAGTGTTAATAAAATCATAATAAATAATCAAAACCTAAAATTTCTGTCAGATTCTGGTGCCTAGTAATGTCTGGGTACAGAAATTACAAGTTTTGTAAATAGTAGTCTTTTTTCAAAAAATTTTTAAGGTCTGCAAACCAAATACCACGGAATGGCCCTTTACTTTAATTTTGTTATGTGGTTTTGTTTGATGAAATTGCATTTTTTCAAGAATTTGCATCAGATTATTTTTCACAAAAGTTGTTGAATTTTTTTTCATTGATAGTCACATTTGCCTGTTAATGCCAAAACTAATTGCAAGCTCCTCTACAAAATCAACATGATCAAATTATTTTTTAATGAAAGTTCAATAATATTAATATATTTTTCTTTTGCATGCACGTATATTTGCAACATCATCCCTCCTGAAGTGCCAAACCATGATTTTCTTTTTTCTTTAAATTTACTAGGGAGTATTAGTTGATTAAGAAGCAGGTTCAGTTAGATTAATCAGCATAATCAGATTTTTTATGTACAGACATATTGTGTCTGTGTATATAGCCATCCCCTGAGTCGGTCTTCGCCATGCACTTTCAGAGATAACAGGATAAATGGAGAAACATTTGTTCTTCTGTCTTCAAACTTGCAGAAGTGATGTATTTTAGTAAAATACAGGCGGAGCTAAAAAAACTTGTTCAGGCCATCTTCAGGTTATGCCATTTTTTTGTTTTTTGTTGTACAGACACGAAGTATATTTTATAATAAAATACAGGTCAAGTTCTAAAACCAGCTTGATTTTTGCAAAATCTATATTTTTTTTCTTTACAGCATATGTATATTATATTTTATTATATGCAATACAGATAACACATTTTTGAAGAAAACTGATGGCTTCTTGTCTTCATAGTAATTATTATTACCAAAATACAGGTCAAGTTGGAAAACTGGCCTGGCTGGATGATTATTTTTCTTGAAGTAATGCTTTTTTGTTTTTAGCATATAATATAACATGGAAAGCAGTGAACACCTTTGAGGGAAAACTGTTTGGCTTGTTGTCTTCAAACTTACAAGAGCGATCAGTATGACTGAAATACATACAGGTTGAGTTTCAAACCCAGCCCGAGTGAATTATTTTTCTTAAAATATATATATTATTTTCTGTTTTTTAGCATATATTATATGATATGAAATACATATATCACATTTTAAGAAAAACTGATTGACCTAGTGCCTTCAAACTTACAAGAGTAAGGTGGCCTTATGCTGCCATGTAGTTTTCCTTGTACATAGAGTTTTAATTGAAAAAATATAAAGCAGTTATTTTAGTCAAATTTATTTTTAAAGAAGGTAATTTTGAATTAAAAATTATTTGAAAAAAATTAAAGTATTAAATTAAAAGTTTATCTGAAAAAGATTCTGAAAGTAATTTTAACCTGCCAATACAAAGTTATGTCTTTCAATGTGGAATCGATTTTTAAAATTGCAGACAGCCAGTCACCTACATAGTATCTTGGAATGTTTTCACATATTGGCATTTTCAGTGTGTAATTTTGAAGTCCAATGACCATGAAGCTGTATGTACCCAGTACATTTAACGAATATCCATGATATATTTAGTATGTTTATGGCGGTACACTTGGCTTTAGTACTGACATGTCTTGTCAGCTGGCATCATCAGCTCCACTCTCACTTGACTGTTCCCGCTTCTCCTCATAAACTAGAAGGGCATGTGTCACCGTCTCTTAGATTTAGGTCATATGCAATCTCAGCTTGATCCATGTAGATTTTGGGGACTGCCAGTGCATTGGCCTAGGTATGATATCCAATGCAATGTGCCTTTGGCCAAATTTTTGAAAATTAAGCGATAAAAACATGTATCTCCCAAACCAAACAAATTAATTACTGACGAACTCTGACCAAAAGTGATATGTGTATCTCAGGGGACACTTGGTCTTAATTACTTCTCTAGCAGGCAACACAACAGCTATGGTATGTTTTCCAGAGATCAACTTTAAAACTGACTGATCTCTACATTTATTTCTCTGGCTGAGAGATCTGGAGTCTCCTAAGACAGCAGGGTTCGACTGACCAAACTTACTCTGAGCTCCAATCTCTCTCTAATCTCTCTAATACAAAGTTCTACTTATATGTTAAAACACACAAAATACATTACAGTGAAGCCTAAAACAAGTCAGATATTGAGGCCAATTAACAGAATTAAGTGATAGATACAATACGAGTCCCCAAGCTGTATGTGAAATATTACGAGTGTATTGTCAAACCACAGGTGAGACAATACACGAGTCACAAGGGCCCCTAACATGTATGAGTAAAATGTCGCAAAGATAGTGTAGTAGCCAATCAGAGGCCGTGGTTTAAGTCAGATACAACACTCATCCTGTGTTGGACCAGGGAATTCTATCTATCGGATATTAGTCCCTGTTTTTTTCCAAAAGTTTTTTTTTTTTTTTTTTTGTATGGCCATCAATGGAGGTCAGAGCCGTAGCCACCGGGGTTTGAGGTGCAAAAAAAAAAAATAAATAAATAAAATAATAATAATAATCGCAAAGGTTAAAAAAAAATAATTGCAAACTTGGTATCAGTTCTGTGAGAAAATGCACTCATGGCCACTAGACAATCATTCAACAATCTGTTTACAAAGGTGTACTGTTTTTAGCCAACTCAGTTCATGCCAAAAAGCTCACCCTCCCTGAGGGAGCTATCCCCCAGGCCAATTGGGGTGTTGTGATGAAAAAATGACTGTACTTATGGCAAAATGAACCCACAAATTCTGACTTCCGATTGAGCAATAAAAACAGTTAAAATGCACGAGAAAGCAGTATTATACATACAGTTTTATTTAAATTTTCCACACCATGGGAGGGGGCCCGCCCTCTCCCACACCCTTCCCCCCTCAGGGGCTTCGCCCCCTCATGTACACTTACTGCCCCCCTGGCATTTTGCTCAGGCTACAGCCCTGGAGGTCATGTGGTCTAAAGACAAGCTCAGATATCAGAATAAAAGCTATAACTGCCATTTTTGTGGTAAAACAGAATATATTATATTTCTATGAGTTGTTCACAATGCTTTTATTGTGAAATATAGATCTCATATGAAGAGTTATTATCCCTTTAAGTATAATGTAATATTGCATCAATATTGACAAAATAAAATAACCTATTTTGTGCATCATTATTTTTACTTTTGTCTGTACATTTGACAGCTTTGCTGCTTTGTTAGTGACTCACCATTATTCAGATCAGTAGTACATAAGTTGTACTATATACACTGGAATTTGCCTGGTTATGTTTATTTATAAAAATGGTAATTGATATTAATGTTTATGTCTACTGGAGTTGTTGATTACCTGAAGGTCCATGTACATTAATACAGTTCTAAATGTGTAAGGATGATGATGTTTTTAAATCCTGCAGTTTAAAATTTTAAGTGTAACATGCACTTATTGAAATCAAAATTGTAACACACACCAGTGAAGTGATATTTTGTCAATTTTTGCTTTTAGGTCTTCAGAGGAGATACTTCTTACACTTCTAGATATAATTGAAATGCCAACGCAAGAGTTAAGTGGGACTGATGGAGGTGAAACCTGGATGAGGTTTATATTACAGAATCAAAAATTTTGGTACCATATTTTGACAGCTAGAGGTCCAAAGGTATCGTCAGTTCATGATCACAAGGCCTGTAAACAGGTGTTGCTGGCTTTGCAAGGCATTTTGGAAAGTATTTTAAGCCAGAGCATTTCACTAAAGTCATTTGATCATTTGCTTAAATTGTTTGACCAGGTTGGAAAAAGTGAATGTTTTGAGTTATTAGCTGCATCAGTTCCAAACTGTAAAAAGGAAAAGGTGGTGAAATCAGTAGAAGAATGTAGGAAGAGAATAGATGAAAGATGGGAGCAGGTGCAACATTTAAAGAGACTTGTGAAACGTGTTTTAGATCCAGCGAGTGAACACTGCCATTTTTCAAATATAGAGGAACTTAAGAAAATTATTGAAAAATGTGCTAAGCAACTGCAAAAAGAGACAGATGTCAGCTTAAAAGATATTGGACTCAAATCATTTTGGGGGACATTTGGTGGGCTATGTGAATTTGCCAAGGTCATTTATTCATACTTGAAGTCTACAGTTTTTGTCAAGATTTGCATAAGCCTGACAAACAGTGCAACAGACAATCAGTCAGTTGTACCTCATAATCAGGACCAGTTGGACACTGATGTCCTAACAGGGATGCTGTATGATGATGATGATCCATTTTCTGAAAGTGGTGGACCTTTAGATGAATACAACCCAGCAGTCCAAGAAACAGACCTGGAATCATTTGTCAGACTTATTGCTGAACAAGGTATTGAAAAATATGCTTCGATATTCAAGAGCTTTTTTGCTGATGAAGACATTTTATTAGGAGATGTTGAACAGATATTCGAGGGTAGTGACCCTTTAACAGAATGTGAACTGATAGGAAAGTTACAGACCAGGAGGTTTCCAGAAACAGTTATCCACAGACTGCACAATTTCAGAGCCTCAGGGACAGTAGCTGAATCAGTTAAATGCATGGAGCTTGTTCTTGCTGCATTTGATGTGTCAATAAAGGAAAGCAGCAGATTTGGACGTGCCATAGTTAACTTTCGCAAATATCTTTGTGATCCCAGAAAAATTAGTCTGTTTGAATTGAGTGCTGCTGTTGATATGGTCCAAGATGTTAGCAAAGCATTTAATGAAACGGACACATGGAATGTGATAACAGAACTATCAAAATCACAAGCATTACTGGAATTCCTTAGAGAAGTTGTTGATGAGGATATCAGGAATTTGATAGATGCAGTTGAAGAACACTCTGAGCAATTTGTTTCAGAATACACAGTATCTGAATTGATTGCAGTGAAGCGATTTATCCAGCCACTTTTGAAATTGGAAAGTGCGTTCCTGACCCAACCAGAAAGGTTCTTCCACACACTGCAGCGATGTGTGAAAGATGGCCCAAAAGATATATCAGGGAAGCTTCACAGCTGTATGGATCATCTTCACAGTTTAAAAGCGTTGTATGCAAATGTAGCCAACAGAGGAGAAATGACAAAAGAGATCATTAGAAATGTATTACAGGTGGGGCGATTCAAGTTTGACCTTTATGGTGAGAATTTCTGCCAAGCAACTGTTTTCTACAAGAAGCACAAGAAGACAACGCAATTTGGTATTAATGAACTAAATGATCTGCGGAGTAGGGCACTTCTTCTTGTCAATGCTGAAAAGCCAAAACTGTCCAAGGAAGATAATGTTAATGCTCCCATGAAACAATTAGATTTAGAAAGATTTATATCAGCTGTGGATTCTGCGTATGAAATCTCTGCTGTCTGCACACAGTTACACATATCTGGTCATTTTAGATATCGACAGTTTAAAAGAAACAAATTGGAAATATCCCAGTTAGATAAGACATTGCAGGGCCTGAAGAAAGACTTAAATGACTGGAATGAACACTTGCAGAAAGCAAGGGATGAATGTTATTATCTAAATTTCATTCATGCTGACCAGTTATGGACACTTCATGACTATTTCACCAAGAACATGGGTGACTCAACTTATGAACAGGCATTAGGGATTCTTTCCTTCATTTGCCCTGCCACCAAGGTAACTGATGATTTTGTTAGTGGTGTCACTCCCTTTGAATCACATGATAAACCATACCAGACTTTGATGGAGATTGGCAAAGCATTGGAATCACTTTTTATGTTCTCTCAGCCTATCTCCAGACCAATATGTGGAGTTCCACAGGGCACAAAAAAGAAAATAGCAACCATGGACTCAATGGTTCAACCAGGGCAATTGTATGTTGCAATATTGGACAGAGAAAGTCGTCAGGTTGTCCCAGTTGTTCTAGAGTTGTATGTGTCAACCACAGGACTTTATCCAGAACCCCATCAAATTTTGTTTGCAAATCAAAGTACAAGTCGTGATGAGATTCAGTTATTCTTAAGGCGTTGCATGAAGTCTGGGTCTCTTGGAAGACCATCTTTGTATTGTATGGCAAATGTTGAAGTTCTACCAGGTGAACTGCAGTTCTACCTTGTTGACGAAATTCAGTCTTACATGCAAAAAGATGGTACTTGTAAGAATGACAAATTCCTCTTGGCTATTATTTGTAGAGGTGGGGAACATCATGCATTGGTTGACCAATTTTCTGATTTTTCCCACAAAATTATGGGAATGCAGGATGGCATGCTACGTGAGTGTTTATCAAACCTTGATAGAGCAGTTACAGTTGTAACCTCAGAAGTGCCAGGGCTTGGTAAAACAGAAGAAATTTTACAGAAAGCAGCAAGTGCTGGACAGGGTGTCATAACATTCCCAATAAGTGGGCCATTCAAGAGAGATGTAGTTGTGAAGAGGTTAGTACGCACCAATATGAACAAATACCAAGCACTCCATTTGAGCCTTGATGCTGTGGATGATCCTAGGGCTTTGGATGAATTCATATTTGAGCTTTTGGTCATAGGGACAGTGAAGGCAGGAACAACTTTATTCCACATGGCTACAAATAGCACTTTCATAGAGGTTGGCAATACAATTGGGGATCATCTTGTAAACTCTCTGCGCACTGTTATGTGTTTTAACAGAATAGCTCTGCAGTGGAGAAATTATGCAAATTTGCAAGTAAGTGAAGAAATTGCAAGTCCTGTTCAGGTGGTGTGTCATTATTTGAAAGCTTTGGATGAAGTATCATTGGATTCGCAAGATATCATTTTCCATGGACAGCAAGCTCCAAAGCCTTTACCAAAGTCAATCTGCCAGCATCTCCTGGAAAAATATTTCAGTTCAAATCCAGACATGTCATTTGCTGTTCTTGACATATTTATGAATGTCCTGTCAGACCAGTTGAAGAAACTCTCTGCAAGTTTTTTCTTCAAAGCATCAAGTCTTGATGCAATGCTTGGTGGAGATATACCACAGACCGTGCGCTCCAGTCTTGTGAAGGCACTAATAGATGTTTCAAAAGAATTTTCAGCAAGATCAATTTCCACTTGCAGGGAGCAGCAGTCGTCAGCTTTATCACAAATGGAGCTAATACAAAATCTTCAAGGTGAAAAAGAAAAAGCAGCAGATACTACATCTTGTATGTTAGAAAGAGCAGATGGTATGATAAGGTGGAATGATAGTAACCATCTTTTGGTCTTATTTCATAGTTTAGATTTCCAAACAATCTCAGTTCTGTATAGATCCTTGGAAAAAGTGCCGCCAAGAATAAAGGAACTTTTTCAGACTCAAGCCAGGAAATCACTTCCAGAGATGACGGATTTGTCACAGAAACAGTTAAGTGACATGCTGGAGAAAATAGCAAGGACAAAGTCAAATTTTCCTCAAGGAGAGGTCTTAAACGATGAAGCAGAGATGTATGCTTTGACACCAGATAATCTGCTGAAGATGGCATTGGTTATCATGCGAGTGCGAGCAGGGATTCCAGTCATTATTATGGGTGAAACAGGATGTGGCAAAACAAGTCTCATTAAGTACCTTGCTATGACTTGTGGAGTTTACTTCGAACCTTTTAACATTCATGCTGGTATAGAAGAGCAAAATATTTATGACACTATCATGAATCTTGATCAAAAGGCAGCTGATGACCCAGAAAACTCGTACTGGTTGTTTTTAGATGAAATCAATACTTCCCAGTACCTTGGCTTCCTGAGTGAAATAATCTGCCACAAGTCCTGCAGGGGTCAACCACTGTCTCCCAATCTAGTGTGTATTGCAGCCTGTAATCCATACAGACAACGTGAAAAACATCAGATATATTCTGCTGGCTTAAAGGGCAAAGTGAAGACAGACCCCCAGTCAAAACTAGTCTACCGTGTGTATCCTCTTCCAGAAAACATGATAGACTATGTGTGGGATTATGGCACCTTGGACCCAAGGGATGAAGAAGATTATATTTCAAGAATGGTTGGGGATATTAATTCCACAAAACAGAAGAAGATTGTTCGTGTGATTGTGGAATCACAGAAGTTCATGCGAACAACTGAACACAGTGATTGGTGTGTGAGTCTACGGGATGTTCACAGATGCAAGTTATTGATCAAATGGTTCATGGAAAACCTACCTAAGAAGACAAATGCTTCACCAAAAAATATCAATATGTGGTCCTTTCCCAAGGCCGCAGCTACAAGTTCAAGTGTGCACCAACCTTTGGAGGTCAAGGCAATCATATTAGCACTTGCCCATTGCTACTATGTACGTCTTTGTAACACTGATGACAGAGAAAAATATGTTGATCTTGTTGCAGCTGAATTAGGTATTACGGCTGCAACAGTCTTTGACATTATACGAGGGGAGCAAGAAGATCTTTTAGACAGAATGGAGCTACCTGAAGGAACAGCTAAAAATACAGCCCTCAGGGAGAATGTGTTTGTCATACTTATTTCAATTCTAAACCACATTCCTATATTTGTTGTTGGCAAACCAGGCTGTAGCAAATCACTTTCTATGCAGTTGATTCGAAGCAATTTACGAGGTAAAGATTCACGTGATCCATTTTTCAAAGAATTGCCTCAATTGTATGTGGTTTCCTATCAAGGATCCGAGTCTTCAACTTCAGAAGGAATTGAAAAGGTGTTTGACAAAGCTAAGAATTATAGTAAGCACAATCCTGGATCAGACGTACTTCCAGTAGTGCTCCTTGATGAGGTAGGACTTGCTGAGATATCTCAGCATAATCCCCTGAAGGTGCTACATAGCTTATTAGAACCTGCTCATGGCAAATTTCCTGATGTTGCTGTTGTTGGTATCTCAAACTGGGCTCTTGATGCAGCAAAAATGAACAGAGCAATTCATCTATCAAGACCAGACCTTGATGAAAAAGAGCTGTATGAAACAGCCTTGTCAATTAGCGGTTCCATAGCTGGGGCTCAACCAAATGAACACCTCAAAACTCTTGCTGCTGCATACCATCATTACCAAAAACTCCAGAAACATCAAAACTTCCATGGCTTGCGAGACTATTATTCTCTCATCAAGTATGTAACAGCATCTGAAGGGGAAACTGTTGAGGACGACTGGGAAACAGTATATTGGAATGAGACACCTAAGCGAATCAAAATGGGGCTCTTGCGGAATTTTGGGGGTCTTCCATCTGAGAGGAATGACATAGTGAATATTTTCACAGAGAAACTTGGGGCAGGGTGCAAGTTGAATGTGAATGTTGATGATCTTGTGAGACAGAACCTCAAAGATAAATTAGCTCGACATCTGATGCTTATCACCAATGGAGACGCAGCTGTTGGGATATTGGAAAGATCCTTGAAAAAGCTCGATCGCGAATGTGAAGTTATATTTGGAAGCCAGTTTGAGGAAGATCAACAAGAAGAGTACAATTACAGGATTTTGAGCAGAATCATTTTGTGTATGGAACGTGGTGTCATACTTATTCTGCGAGATCTTGAAAACATATATGGAAGCCTTTATGATATGCTGAATCAAAATTACACTATTGTGGGAAACAAGCGTAACTGTCGCATTGCACTAGGTGCATACAGTAACCCGATGTGTCATGTACATCAAGACTTCCGCTGCATAGTACTTGTTGATCAAAGCAAAGTTGATTATTCAGATCCTCCATTTCTGAACAGGTTTGAAAAGCAGCTTCTCAGATTTGGAGATGTACTTTCCAGACATCAAGAAGAAGTAATCAAAGACCTGGAGAAGTGGGTGGATAACATTTCAACAATCCAAGGACTTCAGTTCAAAGTTGAAGATGTATTTGCAGGTTTTTACCAAGATACTTTAGCATCATTGGTTGCAAAACATTGCCAAAGTGAAGATGAACTATCCAATTCTAGAGAAGTTCTGGAAAGATGTAAAAGGAAGCTGCTTCTAGTTGGAACACCTCAAGGAATATTCCGAGCAACAAAATCAACATTGGGAAAATGTAAACAGCAGGAGGTCAAAAAGGTACAGGAAATGTACTTTCAGTACCCATTGCATGATGGCCTTCAGTCTTTTTTAGAGACTATATTGGCCATTCAAGAAGAGCATGAATCAACACTTCTTCAAGATGCTTGGGATAATGGCCCTGGATTCAAGGCATTTGTAATGACTCACAGAAATATCCATGCACCTGTTCAACTTGGGCCTCCTTTTGATTGCCTATCTATAAAGCTAGGGGTCTTCAAGTCAGAGAAGCAACTTACAACACGAATAAAAAAGTATTTGTTTGAAGACAAGGAAGATTTGCTTATTTTACAGTGTCAGCAAACCACTGATGCTGCATATATGCTGTTGGCAAAGACCATCATAGACAACTGTAGACAAGAATACATGCAGCAGTCAACTGTATCCACATTGAAAAAGCATATTTGTATCCTTGTTCACATGGATCACAGCTCTTCTGAATCAGGCTGGCAATTCAACTTTCTCTCTGGATGGTTGTTAGCATATTTAGATAATCTTGACAAACCAAACAGTGAACTGTCTGCACTTCTAGGGAAAAGCATAGTAGACATTTTGCAAGCAGGAGATGTTTCTTTATCTGACACCATTAAGCAAAATCTTCTGTGGGCTATAAGCACTCCTATTACATATGCAGGAGAACAACCTTCACTAGATTCTGTCACAAATATCATTTGCTCTGTTTGCAAGTCCAAGGAATTGATGAGCTGCTTTGAAGAGGCTATTCTTGACTGGCTTACAGAGAATGGCTATTCTGAATCTCCCAGCGAATTTGATTCTAATGCATGGCAGCTAGATGTTGTCTGTGACAAGCAAGCTCTTGTGAACTCGAGCTCCCTGCAAGAAGCGCTGCAAAGACATGTAAAACAGCGCTTGTCATGGCCCTTAGCCATGGTTGTTTACCGACTGGAATGCTCATCAGCATGGGCTAGTTTTCTTTCTTACCAAAGTGATAACGAGGTTGATGTCCAGAAACGAGCAATATGGAAGGAGCTCTTTCGAAATCCAGATATTCTTCCCATCTCTCAGTTGCAACTGCCCTTGCAATCTGGGTGTTATGTATGCAATTTCCAACAAATGCATCTCAAATTTCCTTTTAGTAAAGTACTGTTTTCCCGTTTAGAACAAGTTGAATCCCTTTTTCAAGATGACTTGAAAGCTCTTCATGAAGATATGGATAATTTTGATGAGAACAATGTTATGAAAGACAAGGTTCTCCAATGGCAACAGCTTCGCTTCCAACCAGCTATTCTGCGCTGTCTGTGTGAGGTTAGGGATGACATAGATGCATGCTATTCTGATCTGTTAGAGGACTTCTGTAACTTAAATTCTTCTCAGTTGGCACCATCCTTGGAGGAACAAACCAGAGTTCAGATAATGAAATCTCTTTTACTCCACCAAATTGAAGAAAACACAGATGATGACAGAGAAAGTGCATTGACGAGAGTTGTATTGACATATTGGAGGAAAAAAGAGCTAATTGATTCAATTTTGCAGCTACTGTCATCAGTTCAAGACATTCTTGGTGATGATAACAGTTTTCTTACAGAAATTTTTGATAGCTTTGAGCAACAAAGCCAGACAAATGTAGAAGATAGTTCACAACCAACCCATTACCCAGAGGATGGATTGATGGACAAACATGTGTCAGACATGCCTAGTTACATAACAGCTGAATCAGGGAATATTGATGTTAATAATGCACATGCTTTAGAAGAATGCATTGCATCTGATACCAGTGAAACTCTGGACCACACAGAGGAAAAGAGTCATACTGTTCAACAACCCATTGAAGATAGCCCACAAACTGACAAACATGTGTCAGACATGCCTAGTTACATAACAGCTGAATCAGGGAATATTGATGTTAATAATGCACATGCTTTAGAAGAATGCATTGCATCTGATACCAGTGAAACTCTGGACCACACAGAGGAAAAGAGTCATACTGTTCAACAACCCATTGAAGATAGCCCACAAACTGATGAAAATGGTGCCCTTCAAGCAGAACATGGTGCAGGTTTTGATGAGAAGGATATTGTATCTGATCCAGACAGTGTGAACACTGAACATGATGCTTCTGTTTGTGAAGTTGATTATGTGGATGACACAAAAGTAAGCACTGGAAGTAGAGATATGGAGATAAAACCATTAGAACAACTAATTGTTGAGCATGTGTGCAAAAGAATTCTACCAACAAAAACTGTTCTTCAGCTTTATGATGGTGCTGTCCAGTGGCAATACAGGATTAATATTTTGCTACAGCTGTCTTCTAAAGTAATGTCACAAAGTGAAACTGGCGAATATCCATCAGTGCTGCATTATCTGCGAGTTTGCAGTGACTATGTTAATGTGTTGCTGATTCCACACAAATTGTCAGATGATTTCATATTCATGGAAGAAATACATGATGCAGAAGATATTATGGAATCAACTGAATTGTTTCAACAAGTGCTGTATAAGATGCATATACTTCATCTTGAAAAACAAGTCCCTGCCAACAAATTAGAACTTTTCATTTGCTTGTATTTTGGGCGAATTCTTGATGCAAACATAGATACAGATTTGTTTAGTGCCATATTTCAGACTGTAAGCAGAGGAGAAATGCCAGATGAAAATCTTTGCCATTTTGGGCCTGTTTTACAAAGAATTCTTCAAGCCGAAGATGAAGATGGCAGCCTTTTGTTAAAAATCATTGATGGAGATGAGCAGCAGGTGTTTCAGGAAAGTGTCCGATTGAAGCAGTTGAATGACGTATTGAAAACAAACTTTGAGAAGTATGGCTGGGACAGTTCTCTTGTAGCTTTGGTGACTGACACAGTTGCAAGCATGTACTTTGAGAAATCATTCAGAGTATGTGGTGATGAGAATGTGCCAAATGACTTAGAAATGCAAAAAATATTTTCAGCAAGGGATCACATTATTGCAGCCAATGAAACAACATTGCAGTTGGTGACAAGTGTTGCCTTTGTGAAATCCTTCTTGTGTAGCACTGATCAGGAAATAGAAAACATTTTGGAAGGTAAAGCAAATAGTAAATTTCTCATGGATAATGTTAGTGCCCTGACACGGTGCATCAGTGATGTGGAGTGCAATGAGAGAAGCACAATCTTTGTCAGATTTCTGCTTAAACAGCTAAGGCAAAAACATAGCATCGAGGGTATTTGTCACATATGCAAAGGAGCTTCAGAGTCTTTCACAAGTTTGAAAAAAGTGGTCATGGACTGGGAACCATTGAATACTTTGCCAAGGATAGGCTACAACCCATTTGCAACAGCAGAATATTACCATGAAGCGAAGCTAGCAGTTACTTCAGCCGTAGTGAAAAAGGAAACTAATCTACTGGATGCCTTTTTAGGCTCTGCGAGAAATTCATCTGCTCATCAGATATCTCTTTTGGGCATAGTGTTTGAAACCTTTTATGTAGTAAGAGCTTCAAGGTATTTGACAGACGATGAAAACAGCACCGCAAAGGATATTGCAGAAAAGTTGCAACATTATCCTGAACAAGTTTCGATTCTTTTAAAGAATCTGCTAGGCATATGTGATTTTGGTTGTAAACATTTACACATAAGTACCGAGTCCAGTGATCAACATGTTCTACAAGCAACATTTATCATTCACTGGCTTAGCTTATTGTTTACAACCAAGAAAAAGGCTTCATCATTCTTTGGATGCATAGCAACAGATGCTTCTGTTGTATCAAAGACATACACACCAGCCCATCCTGATGTTGGCAAGAAGAAAAAAAGATACCAGTTTTGGAAATCCCTAGCAATTGAAACATCTCCTGTACATGTGTTTGAATGCAAGTGTTGGAACAGTGTGTGTTTTCTCAGAAGCGCTACCATCACAAGTAGATGCCCCCGTTGCCATAGGGAATTATCTGCTGCTAAAGAAAACAAATGTGATATCCTTGTGACTCAAAACAGCAGCTATGAATCCCCAGATGACAAAGAAGTGATCAAAGCATTGGACTGTGTCAGAGGTCTCTCACCTTTGGCACACAGAGTGTGTAATTTGCTATTCCAATCATGTTGTTTGTATTCATCTTCAGTGGCAGATTCTTCAAACGAAGAGCCTTCCACACTGATTGATTTCAAAGAATGCTGGAGTCAGTTGAAAATTCTTATTGAAGCAGAGGATGGAGACTTAGCTACATTCTTACATGTAGTGTTACTTGCAGAGCAAAGTGTACTCAACCAAGCTGAATGTGATACTTTAGAGAGCCGTGACAAATGGGAAGATGTTTTTACCGAAAAATGTGCTATTTTACTTAAGGATTGGAGGGAGAAATGTCGTACTTTCAAAATCCAGTGTTATGAGAAAATGGGAATACCTCAAGATTGCATGGAAACGCAAGTGGAAGAAGCCAGCAACCAGCTGAAAGTTGACATGCATCTGCCAAGGCTATTCAAACTCACCAGTCCAGCTACATTCCAACTTTTTGAAGCTAATGTTGCAAACCAACAACTAGATGAAGCATATCCTTTGTTAGCCTTGTTCCTTCAATGGTACAGCAGCCTCACACTTCTAAGACATTTGCCAGGTTTACTGGATTGGCATAAAACAGTCACAAGATTACAAAACCGTCAATTGAAACGAAAACATGCAAAAGAATCCCTTATTTGTGATATCTTAGCCTCTGGAGGAAAAACTGAAAAGTCTGCAGAGGAGCAAGAAAAAAACATGAAATATTTTGAGGCATTTCAAGAATCATGGAATAAACTACGAGAGCATACAGAACTTTTGAAGCAACTTGGTTTAGAGACAAGTTTGATACGTATGCATGATCAACTCCCAATTGCTGAGGTTCTTATTGATGATCAAGATTCTCCCATCTACCAAGTTATTTGTAAATTAAAACAACTTCAGAATCATTTTCTTGGTGAGGTACAGATGCTAAGTGTAACCAAACATTGCCCAGCTTTAAGATTTCTGAACCATGGCCCAGGGCTGTCCATAATCAAAGAGATTCCAGTCCAGGATGCGACTCTACAGGATGTTATATGTTTAGAAATGACTGATGAATGGTTGAAGGAATTGCTGAAACATGCACAGTGTGACACACGCTATGGATTGGGTAAAATGGTTCACTTTGACTATGACAAAATTGAGATGGAGTTGGGAAATGAACTAGTTCTTGGAAAAAGCATCCTTGTGATGGATTCTACATTTCCAATGTTTCAGTATTCTGGAGAATTGTTTTTTACCTCAGAGAACATTCTTCATGACATTAGAAAAAACATTCCGCAGGAAAGCCTTTCATCTGACATTTGCAATGGTGTCAAACAAAAACAAGAAACAAGCCCACGAAATGCAAGAGATTTACTCACCAATTTGGAAGTGGTTGTCTGCTTATTAAAACGGACTGGTGGGTCTCCAGAACAAAGTCTAGTAGAGTATACAGACCATTGGTTGTCAATGCTTCCTGCACCCTTTCCCAAAGATCTTCTACCTTCTCCACCAGACATTGTCAAGTTGTGCCACATAGTGTCACTCTATGAGATGGTGGAAGACCTGCTGACCACAACTGCAATTACAGCTCTCCCAGATGAGTTTAGAGTAAAACTGTCACCAGACCAGATGAAAGAATTGAACCCTTTGTTAAAAACTAAAGATTTGAATTTGGGGGACTTCACAACAGCAGTGCGCAAGTTCATTTTCAGGTACACTTCAAGCACAGAGCAGTCCTCTTGTGTTGACCCTAGCAAACCATTGGTGAGTTACCTGAGCAGTACCACATTGTGGCCAGAGGGCACCTTCATTAATAAAAAGATTGCTAAAACTCTTGGAGAAGAGAACCCAAAGGACTTGAAGTTTTACATCCCTGAAAGTTTGAAGGTCCAACATGTGTATGCAATACTAGCTTACATAGAAGAAACAGTGAAGGTAATTTTGAATAGATTTATTACCTGTTAATACATTGTCTAATTAACTGCAATTAATGATCAACTTAGTATTATAAATATGAAAATACCATGATTAGATATATGTAATGATGAACAGTTACTTAAATTGAAATGTTTATATAAATTGTTTCCTCTAATGAAGAACTGTTATGATTTTTCATGATATTAATATAATTAGTAGTGGGATCACACCAGAAGTGCAAACTAATTAATATCTAGTTTTGGAAATGTGCAGAATAATAGGTTGTAAAATATATATATTTTTTTCAGCAAATGAGAGACAAGGAAAGCAAATGTCAACCAACTGTAAGGCCGAAAACTAAACGACCAAAAAAGCTCTTTTCCAAAACGTGAAACTTGTAAGTATCTGAGGGTTTTAAGTTTGACTTCATTGTAACAGAACTGAGGCATATCAGTAAAATTCAGGTCATTGTTTAAAAATCAGCTTGAAACAGTGTATGACCATTTTTGCAAAATATTTTTTCAGCATGTTTTTATACAAGATGCAATACAGATACTGAAAAAACAGTTGACCTATAGTCTTCATACTTGTACCTAAAATACAGGATGAAATTGAAAACCAGCCTGGGAGGAGTATTGTTCATGAAGTTATACAGTAAATGTTGAAATGTTCATTTTTCACACATTAGCATTTCAATGTGTGGTTCTAATATTGCATCCAATGTGGTTCTTTTTATTCTCAACCTTACCAAAATGATTTAAAGACTAAAATGCAGCTCCAAACAGCTTTGTCAATACTTTTTCTTGAAGTAATGCAGTTTTTTGGGAAGTATTTGACTCTGAACCCAATGGCCTTAAAGCCATTTGCTAGTTGCACTCTGAATATCCATGTTACCAGTGTACAGATCACTACTGGTGGTGATCATGCTGTCGAGTAACATTGCATCCAAACTGACAAAACAAAAATATTTTGTGCACTGCTACAAATTGCAGTGTCAATGGAAAAGTGTGTGTTACTTACATGTATTTTGATTCTTGGGACTGAAGTACAGCTTCAGTGGGAAAACATTAGGCTCTTTTTCTTGAAGCTATGTTTTTTTTTTTTTTTTTTTTTTTTTTTTTTTTTTTTTTTTTTTTTTTTTTGTGAAATGCACAGTTTTCATGTATTGAAATTTGACAAACTGATATCTCGTAGGCCTGAAGCCATATGCTTGTTACTTATACTGAATGTCTATAATACCGGCACAATAAATATTTGATGTTATTTTTGCCTACCAGCATTGTATAATAATAATAACCTGTTTTGTTCATTGTTTTTGCTGATCATTTTACAGCTTTACGACCTTGTTTTAATATGGTTATAGTGGGAAAGGGGGGTCCTAATTTGTTTTCTAATACTTGTATTTACTTTTGTGCATTCTTTCATGTACATGTTAATATTATTAGCTCATATAACTATAATTCATCTCTTCATACTTTGTTTTTAAGGAAAAAGACCATCCATGAGGACTGAGAGATATGCACACATTTATGATCATCTTTGTTGAACATCAGTCTCATGCAAGTTTTTATACCAGGACATAACAGTAATTTGTTTTTGTAACTCTGATATATGTAGTGGGACCTCTGATATATTGAGAAAACATTTTTCTGGTGCTCATATGAATTGGCATGAATTCTGCAATCATGACATCATGTGAATATGGTCCTACACTGTACAATATACATGTACAGCTTGAAGGCAAAAAACAGTGACAACACAAGCTTTGTAAATACCAAAATACTCTGTGTACTTTAAGATTGTCATGAATTGATTTTTAGTATTACTATTATTATTATTATTATTATTATTATTATTATTTTATTTGGTTACATAGTTTCAGATGAATGTCCAAAAGTATTTTATGTAATATATTTGTGTAATTTAACTGTAAATAGTGATAGATGCATAATACTCTAGTATGTCATATATATTACCATGATGTAGATACATGTACAGTCATGAACATAGAAAAAAGATATTATGCTGTCAGTTCAAAGATATTAATGCTGTAGTAGAATTGTGGAAGAGGGTCATAGAAACTGAAAAGTCACTTCACTTGGATCTTGATATTAGCTATTAAAAGCCAATGCAAGCAGTTGGAAACTGCCTTGAATTAATGTGAAGTCTCACTATTATCATTATTAGTTGTCATTATCCACTTTTAGGTACTGCAGTTTTTTAATGAATGTTCATATTTAGTATCTTAATGCCGTGTGTGCAAATATATAATTGCATAATGTATATTTGTAGATAAAGTACTCCGCATGGGAGATACTGTAGATAGATAGATAGAGCTGGAGAGGTACAGGTGTAAATACGCTGTAGATATGCTGTCAGCTCAAAGATATTAAAGCTGTATCAAGGATAATTGTTATTGTTGTACAGCAGAGGGAGGCGGTGATATAGGTATCTTTCTTTGTTGCTTGTGTGAACTACCTGTTTGTAGATACCAGCACGAGCAATGGAAAACATACTGTAATGTGTAAATACATGTAAATTGGTAGATTGATGGATACATGTGTATGCACTTAGACTGTTTACCAAGCATGTGCATCTTGTACAAATAAATGTTGTACAGATATCTGGGTGAAGTATAACCTTTGGACTGTTATTATATTATACATGCTTTGTAAGATATTGGTCAATTTTTATGTGGTCATAATTATGGGGAATGTAGATATATATTGTGTATACATTTAAAAAGTGGTTTGTGTACACCTTTTAATTGGAAAAAATACAGTACAGTGATTGTACAAGTATATTGGTACATGTGCATTGTGAATTAATTAATTAATGTGTGTATAAATAGGCATACAGACATCGAATGCTGAAATATATTTTTGACTGATATATCCAATTAAAAAGTGTAAACAAACCAGTTCTACATATATATTAGTATACACACTACCCCCTGAAGTTGTACAATTGAAACTGGTTGGGGCTAAGTATCCACTGCTGTATTTATTTATTCACCAGTGCAGATCATTAAATATTTGAATTTTTAATATATATATATATATATATATATATATATATATATATATATATATCCCCATACATGTATATATATAAGTTACTTTTACCATTATGTGTTAGTTAATTAGATATTAAGAACATTTTATATAGACAATTGCAAATAGATAGATATATAGATATATACCTACATGTACAGTATGGTAAAAGTAATGTAGGATTATTTTCTATAACTTGAGCAGGTGATTGGAGAGTTATTGTTTGGTTCTGCTGAAAATATATTGGCAGTGCCTACATTTCTAAATTGCGGATATAAGAAGTACAGAAGGTTATGAAGTTTATGACAGATATGAAATAGAGCAAATTAAGTGTTTGCATTTTAGACCTAAACAGATAAACCAAAGAAAGTTTTCTTCTTGGTATAACTTAAGTGTATGAGGATATGATTTTTTCAACTAAATGTTTTACTCCCTGTGGCACATGGGATATGTGATGGGTATGCACATTTTGGGGGCACACTCTAATATCATATTAATATCATCTTTTTTTTTTTTTTTTTTTTTTTTTTTTTTTTACATTTTAAGAGGTTATTCATAACAGGACATTGCAGTCTGTATGTTATGCAGATCTGTTAGTTAATGTCTAATGTGATCTGTGATTACTATGTAGAGGTGGGGGGAAAGAATATAGATTTTCCCACTGAAAAAGGAGAACTTTTGTCTGGTTACCATTTCTACACATATATGTTTGTGAAAAACAGAAAAAATTGTGAATACAGGTATAAAGATACAGTTAAGGAGATAAAATGGTAGTTGTTCAACAGACCAACACATTTGGATCTTCTTAATAGTAAGAAAATTGTTTACTCACCACAAGGTGACTAACATAATCTAAAGAACATTAACATATTAAGTTCCTGCTTTAATGAATACATTTTTGTATTATTATATCCCCTTTTTTCCCATTATTCCTTGAGTAGTGTTTTCTTTCTTAGATTTTATTTTTGACAAATAAAAGTTTGCATGTAATTGGAGCGGGGCCAGCAGTTCCGTATAACTGTTTGGCTACAATTTTGTCTTTAAGTTTTACCTTTGCAAATTGGGACTGTGTTTTATTTTATTTTATTTTATTTTATTTTATTTTGAGAAGGTGGAAGTGCATGAGTATTATTGCATGTACCACTGCACTGTAGGTCCTTGTTAAAAAAATTATAATAGTATTAACAGCAGAATATTTGCCTGTATTTTAATGCATGTTACCTGTAGCCATACCAGTTTTATTTGATATAAGATGTTTAAAATGACATATTTAGTTCAAATTAAATATTACAGTCATCTTAATTTGCTAAAAGTTAAAAATCTGTGGTAAGGAATTTAATTTTAATATTGATTTGTACTGATCTTAATTTAATCTCAAGATTGTGGCAAATATTTAATAGAAAAAGGCTATTAAATTAATCACAGACCATCCGCTTATTATGATTTATCAGTTAAGCTGAAAAGCTTAGTATTTACTTGTGGTCATGATCAAGCATCAAGTTGGTGTAAGAAATTTGGCAATGTTTAAACTTAAAGGCATGCAATCTGATAAAGACGATTGTTTAGACACAAAGTAAAAATTCCTGAAAAAATTAGGAAATACCCTTTCACACAAATGTTAGAGTTTAATAATCAACCTATTAATCAAAACCATTAAGGAAATTATTGTCCCATTTTGGAGTTTGGGTTTTTAATTTGATATCAAATTTCATCCTACAATAAAATAATTGCTTGAAAATTGGCATACAAAACTGAAAACATGTTTGAGTACATCAATAATGCGAGACTGCATGTGTGACGATAGTGCCATGTGTTCTGGTGGAAATCCAATAGTTTATGTCCATGTTTTCTCGGTGTCAATAATTTCAGAGTTTCAACAACAACAGCAATGCATATCATCAGTGATTGCCTTTCCCCTTATTCTTTTTAATACACAATCGTCAAAAACAGTTATATGCCTTTAACATGGATATATGTACAATGTGCATGGTAATTATAAGTGATTATTGGATAAATTAATACTGTTTAGAAGACATTGTCTGGATTAAGACAATACTTTTGAACCATTATTTCAACTTAAAACTTGTCAACCCACAATTTGAAAATAAATTTGATTTAGGAAACATGTATACTTCTTGTTTTCTTTTTTTAAAACTCAAAATAGTGAAGTTAAAAAATGATTTATGGGAGAACTCATTATGAGGTAATGAGACGCGTTTAAAACACACCTTTTAATCAATATTAACCAGCTGTTATGTTCAAAATGAAACTGCGATTTCATTATCAAGCTAAAATGTGTCTTTGGGTCATTAAATGTGGATAGAAAATGCAACTTCACTGCCAATAAGTGCATGAACTTTAGATGCTACCAGTTATCATTTCTTTCTTTTCAATAGGCTACAGTTAATCTTTTGAAGGTTGTCATTTTTCTGGAGATTGTATACATTTTGGAATTAATCAGTGTTATTCAGAAAGAAGTGTAAATTCCACTGAGAAGAATAAATTTCTTTCTTCTTGAATTTATTTTTTTTATTTTCATAATTGTACTTAACTCGCTGAAGCCACTTATGATGCAAATAATAATAATTATTTCATGGAAAATCGTATATGATTTCGTGGCAAATGCAATCCTGGGTGCATAAAGACCATGGTATTTCGATCTTTTTATCTATTTGTCGCTACCAAGCGATTTAGTTTTTATATTTGGGTGAAAGACAATCAGTGCTGATCTAGCAATTAGTTCTGCATGTGTATGTTTTGTTCATTGGAGTATCTCGTTACTTGTTTTGAATATATGGGATCTCTTTTTCTGCTTATTAATAAAGATCCCATTCCATCAATCTGAAATATACTACCGGTATTTAACCTGCTTTAGAGAGAAAAAATAAGTTGATACAGTCATTAGGGTGCACACATGATATTTTTCTAAATGAGCCAGAGACTTGAAATTTGGTATACAGATAGCCATACATTTGAGTATGAATAATCAATTAAATTTTTTAATCTATCTTATTTAGATCAAAAGTTATTCAAGTTTTAGTGCCACCATGTTTGTCCTTTTTTTCAGGCACCATTTTCAAAAATGAGTCAAAAGTTGCCCCTATTATTTTTCATCCCCTTAATATTGTCACAGGCATTTGAAATTTGGCACACATTAAGTATAGAAGTTGGGCATTAACCCATAGTTTAAATTTTGGTTCTAGCATTCTCCTAAGCAGAGTTATGTGCATCTGAATTAAGCAAAATGAAGGATTTTTTGACGGTAAATGCTAGAAAATACACGTTCTTCATCAACAAGACTAATTTTAATTAGTTTATAAACAAAAAGAACAAAAACTGTAACAATTAATCTATTAAGAGATAAGTCAATAATGCATGCATTGGTAAAATAATTATTTTCAAGAAAAAAATAACATCCATGCCTATTGCATGTTACTGTTTTTCCTTGCTATGCAATATGAAGTATAAGTGGCAAATTGTCATTGTGAAAAAAATAGAATTATTCAAACTCAGGAACAACCCACACCCTGGGGATCATAGGGTTATTCTTGCATATGTACTCTTACTCCTTAGTATCGAACATGTGTATAGAACGTACATGGCACATAATTTTCTTTTATGATAAACTTCCAGCAAAAAATAAAAATGTCCCCACTTCTGAGGATGTTACCCCCATGCATATTTCCATCACCCCCGTTTACAAATGCTGATAAGGCAGTTTGTAATGAAATTCTCTCTCTCCAGCAGTTGTCTTGATATTAGTAACCAAAATTTAACTATGTATTTCATGTCAGAAAACAATATCTGGTGAGCTCGAAAGAAAATAAATCAAGCTATATACATTTAGCACCTGTGATACTACTATTTAAGCCTACTAGTAATGCATAAATGTTTCAAAGCTTAAATATCATTGAAAATTAACTTGCCACATATGAATGATAGACTTAATTTATATAATTCATGTGACTAAGCAGAGTTTTCTGATCCAGAATTATATTGAAAAAGTATAAGAATTATCTGTAACAATATTTGTGCTTCCCATTTGTCTACCAAAGTAAAGAATACACAAATCTGAGTTAACCACTGTTATAGGGAATTCTTGCACCACAAAACTGATGATTTTAGTTTTAAAAAGCTGTTGGTTCAGTTATACTACAGAAGTCTGCATATATAAAAAGTAAATATATCAATACAAATGACAGTAAGTTTTAAAAGGGAACTTGAGCTATTTTAAGTCTTTGGCACGGAGATATGTAAAAACAACATTAGTAAATCACAATAAATAAATAAATAAAATAAAAATGAAAATGGATAACCTATTCTCTCTTGTTGGCTTCCTCAAAAAGTTTTTTTTATTTCAATGTACATGTACGTCCATCTCCTAAAGTTCTAGATATAAATATAATTTTATACATATACTTTCATCTTAAGTTCTTCACACAAATACCAACATGTACATATTATGCAGAAATTTCCAAAAGGGACTTAACAATATTCATACCTTCAAGGTTATTTGAAGTCTTTGGCAAAGATACGTAAATCACACACACACACCAAAAGAAAAAAAAAATTAATAATAATAAAATAAAATAAATAAATAATAAATCTGTCAAAGCCCCAATAAGACCTTTATAATTAGTCAGAGACGCTAAACCCAAGGAGTTACAACTCCTTGCTAAACCAGACAACCAAGAAAAAGAGTCAGGATTATTCAGTTTATTGATGGCATTATCACATTATTCCGCAAAACGGATGAAAACACCTGCTCAGAGTCAAATAATTATATGTCAAAGTCCACTCAGGGTTTAACTTTTTAAAAGTGCATTTTACCATGATTCCCATCAAACTCATCACAATTAGGATGTTCTCTGTTATAATCACTTCTAACTGATGTATGCAAACGATGTGACATTTTTGTTAAGCGTACGCAGTAGACCTCGACGGGCCGCGGGGACAACAAGCGAGTGCGAGGGTGGGGGTGGGGTTGAAATAAATTACAAAAAAATATTTGCCCAAAAATCTGAAAATTAATGTTGGTTAGAAACCTTAGTCCTTGTTCTTCTACATGTCATATATTGTGTCTTGCTGCCCTTTGCCGACTTAAAATATTAATTAGTTTAAAAGTTTGCCATTAAAAATTTTCACTTCTGTACTCTCGTAGATCGCGAAAACACCCAAAAGGAAGTAACAGCTGTTCTCTATCACGTGTCAATGTAGGGCTGTTCCTGATGCAGTAGTTGAGACACGCCGTGCATTGTAAGAGCAGGTTGAAATCTGATACTCTGGGGGCAGTTATATGATAAAAAAAAATTATAGGGACCCTTCCCCGTAGCCTTAAAATGGGCCTGGTGTGTTGTTTTATAGATCGGAGTGCGTATAAAAATCTTACTTCTAGCATAAAAATAGAAGAAATGTTTAAATATAAGATAAAGACAGATCAATTTATAAGCGATAAAATGTGGTAGGCCTTATTTAAAATCTGTAGATATAAATAAATTCACAAAAACACATCGGCCTACATGTATGAACAAAGTTTGGTTTTAGCGATAAAATCAAAACTTTTAGACCACTTTGATTTGCCTAATTACCAGAATTGTAACAAGTTTTTTTTTTTTTTTCTTTTTTTTTTTTTTTTTTACAATTTTAAGATCCCGTGCTCAGTGATCCAAGTAGCCTAAAAGTAATGTTTAGATTGCAAGGAGTAGATGGGTGTAGGCCCTATAGATATTTTGGTGAAATATGTAATGTGGTGATGTAGAATAACATGCCCACACACAGACTGAAGCTTTGAACGTGGATCAAAAGAGTTTTTGCCATTATTGTTTTTGAAAGCGCTAAGTATTTGTATTGTGCTGCGTGCTGTGTTGCGTCATAGATACAATGACGTAATTTTCATAACAACAAATATTCATGTAACTACGTAGACATAAACAGATAAAATCGACGATGGGTAAGTTTGTTTTTTATAACCACGTAACAATGTTTCGTATAAAAAATACAACCTCTGTTGGAAAGCTCCTTACTAGTTGTTTTGCATTGGTTTGTCTTATGTTTCAGGCTTATTTAGAAGAAAAGAGTTACAGAACCTCGCCAATAAGGTTGATCCTGAACATTATTCTAATGGAAAAGAAATGATCACATTGAATCACAGTCTGAACCAGGTTCTTGTGACTATGAAGCAAACCCTTAATGATGTCAACCAGAAAACCCTTCATATTGCCGATCTTGAGGACAAAATGGAAAATATGTCCAATCATATCACAGAATCAGAAAACAACATTGGTGAGTCAACGGTTCCATCTCAACTTAAAACATTCTTGACGGCCAGACTGCGAAAAAGGAATTGATAATGATTAAATTCATACTGTTGATCTCTATCCAAAACATACAGTTCAGTATAATTAGTAATTATCAGGACGTCATGCTCTCCCACCTCTCTCCCTAAAAAAATTGGAAAATCATATATTAAGATGTTTTTTGTCATGTGACTCCATTGACAGCAATGATTGAGAAGAAATTTGATGAAAAGAATCAGGAACTGAAGCTCATAAAGCAGCAAAACGCAACGCTGCAGGAAGAAAAGCTGGTCATCCGACGTAAAGTTTCAGAGCAGCAATATGAATTCGGTATGCATTTCACTGTTAAGTTATTTTATTTATTTATTTATTTATTTATTTATTTATTTATTTTTCTTTGTAAATTGAGATATTTGGCGGTTGTCGCTACGAAATGAAATATCATTGCGATAACGAGACTGCTATCGATATGCAAAAACATGTTGTTTAACTCTTAAAAATATAAGTGTTTCACAGGTAAAATGTTGTCTTTTAGAAATTCTTAAGAAATACCTGAGATCTAAATGCAAGAGGCTTGCCCAACAAGACAAGACTATTGCTGCCTTAAATGAAGTTCTCACTGCAAAAGACAAAAGCGAAATTCTGGAGGCCCGCGAAAAGGCAGATATTAAGAGAAAAGTGAATAAATTAGCGCTGGCATTGGCGTCACGAAGCCGGGAGGTAGAAGAACTGCGTTTTATGTTGACCAAGACAACGGTAATTTTCCTTCATGTCCATATTTTTGTTTATCTTTTTCAGTAAGAAGGAGAAGGGGGCGTTTTGCAAGTTGCACATTATACAAGCATAGTTCTTTGATCGGATTGTTCCAGATAGTGTAAATATATTTCACAAGCTATTTTTATAAACTGTTTAATCCTGCGTGTTTGTTTTCAGGGTGAATTGGCAAGCCTCGCTATGAAGACAAGTGAGATGCAGAAAACTGTTTTAGAAGAACTGGATGCAGTCAACAAAGAAAAAACGAAAAGTATGTTGGTTAGATCCAATTCAATAACCTGGTGTATCAAATACTATTCGAAACTTATGGTCTACTTATAGAAAATAATATTTGGTTTTTGTTTTGTTTTATATGTCAGTAAATACCGATTGAAAATTGATGTGAACCTTGCTAATTAATTTTTCTAATTTTTATTAAATGATCAAATTCAATTAGAGCTTTGATTAGGGAAAACTATATATTGAAGATAGTAAGAATTGTTTTTTTTTTTCATTGTGTTAATCTCGTAGAGCGTAACTGAGAAGGTTGCATCTGATTTTTCACTTATTCTAACATTGTTTTCTCTCTCTTGGTAGAATTACTTTTTCATTGCATGTGATTTTATTTCAATACGTTCAAAATATTTTAGGACGTGTGATCAATTTCTTGGAAAAACAAGGGTTCATAGTCTTGTTACAAAAGGACAAGTTCGAAATCCCACAACAGGTAGAGTTGATGTTCCACTTTGGAAAACAATTATGTAAAGGAAAACTTGCATGCCTTGTCAACATCAGTATATGACCATGACTGTTGTACATGTCTGGCGACACTCACTAAGTATTTTTCCTTCATCAATGTCTGGGGATTCTCTTTACTGATTATCATTATTTTAATTTTTGTATATTTATTGTGTTTTTTAAAATATATATTAAAGTATTTTTTCTCAATTTCAGCTGTATGATGCAGAACTTAAGAAATGCCGATTACAAGAGGAGAAGGCACTCATCCAAGCTAAGATTTCAGAACTGAATCAATTGGTGGCGTCGTCGAAGTTAGAAGGGCGTTCAACACCAGGTGGCGTACAGAATGTTCACGGAGTAAAGGAATGCATTGGTGAAGCTGTTGCACCTCAGGTCCACGAGATGGCACTTGGCATGGGCGGTGCTGTTTCCGATCCTACTGTTTTGAAAGACGGATATTTGATAACCACCTGCTTATCACAGCCTAGCCTTCCCTCTCAAGACATATTGGCGCCAGTTTAGTTTGGGCTTTGAAGCATAACCTGGCAACAATAGAAATACTATTGTTTTGAAGTTCTTTTTTTGTGGTTCAAAACTTCCCCCTTGCAGTTCATTAGAGCAACTGGAAAATTGTGTTCAGTACCTACAGGCTATGGCAGGACTTATTATTATTGTTGTTTTCATTTACATGTATCATTATTTACAATATATATAAATATGTGGTTTTCGTTTTGAACAGTGTAATATCTTTCAGGACGAACTATTGAACATGGCCCCCTCTCAAAGTATCCACAAATGAAAATTTGGATCTCCACCAACTTGATGATTTTGTATGCAGTTTGTAAAAATACTGGATATAATTTGTAAATAATCTATTCACATGTTGTGTAATAAAAATTACTACAAAACGTATATATATTTATGCATTCAGCGTTGTATTTTAAGCTTTGTGTGAATGAATCACTGTTGACTTCACAGTGCTTGTTTTCTGCAGTTGGTAATATGAAGCATTTCGCATAAATATGTGTCAAATGAGTATAAAGCTTTTATATTTATTTATTAAAAAACTTAAAAGCACTACTGCTTCTACTAAGATTGAATGAACGAACAACCTATGGGGCACAAATTACCAAATTCAAAAGCCAATTATTACACGTTTACACACACACACACACACACACATACACACACACACACAGACACACACACACACGTCACCAAGACTCTTAATTTGATTAACAGTCGCGAAACAGGTCAAGTTTTATTGACGCTGTCCACTACCTTACATCAGGCACAGAAGACCCAAAAGTTAATTGTTACTGGGTGCGGTACTCATTGCGTTTTTCTATATAAATAGAACGGCTGTACATGTACATGTTCACGGAGAAAAAGCTGACAAAATTTCGCTAGCAAGGCTATGATTTCCCATTGGTTCTCTTCTTTGAAATGTCTTGGATAGTTTTCTTTAATCACTAGACTGTGGATACCCATTTTGATACCCATTTTGAATAGGCATTTCAAATGACCGATTTCACAGAATATACAGGCCCGTAGCCGGGGGGGGGGGGGGGGGGGGTTGGGGGGGTTGGGGGGGTTGGAAAAGAACCCCCCCTTTTTGGGGAAAAGGCCCACTCGGGGAAAGATTTGNTTAAGTGTCTCTATTTACGTGAAGGACAATCAGCGCGTGACCTTGTGATAAATTCAAGTCCTGTTTTCTGCCGATTACACTATCTCTAATAGTGCAGTCTAATCTCTGACCACAAGATGCTCTATATGTAGTAGTCTGTTACAAAAAATTAGTGGGTCTCTGATATCAGAGGGCAAATACAGTGTACATACACAGCAAAAGTTGACTTGGCTTGGATTTTTATGCAATATATCTCTCGACTATATAACATTTGCGCGTTATGTGTTTTTCAATGTTTCAACTAATCCTATTTTAAATGAAAAAAAATACGCATATAAAGAGTCTTGAAAACATTACGAAGTTTGTTTCTTTCCGCAACCTTCATTTGCCTAGTCTACCATTGTAGATGGCCAGTCGTAAATTTGGGAAAGTTTGCAAGCGCTCTCACATTTTTTTTAAAAATCCACCACTCTACACGAAGATCGTGTTACATCGCTTGAGCTTTGTTAACAATTTTTTTTCATTATATAGAAGCAGAGGGCTCGATGTGAGTAATATATTTGGCGTTGTCTATTTTATTTCGATGAAGGCAAGAGGAGATTGAAAACAATCAGTGAGTTACATGTACTAAGTGGTTAGCTTACATCCTGCTTCAGCAAAAGAAAGTGGGTCGGGCCCCTTATAGTCAGGATACATGTACATGTACATGTAAAAGGCATTTTGCAGTCGGATACAGATCCCATCCAGTCATAGATATGAAGTATTCAACAACTGTGATTTTTGTTCTTTTGGCAACATTTAGCATAAGCCAATTGACGACAAATGCCCAGGTAAGATACATGAGAACGCTCTGAAGTTCATCACGTTGCTTTACACAAATTGTCCAGCTTAAATACTAGTTACGTTTTGTTTTCTTCAGCTGTAGCTAGCTTAATAAGATGCTAAAATTTTAAAAAGAGAGCAAAGTTCACTTATTTTGAATTCCACGATTTACAAAGTCGATATTTTACTTCACAAGTCATAATTTTGTGAGATTTCACAAATTTTCTTACGATATAGACTTAATCCTTTGTTACGTGTAAGTCAAGATAGTGTTTTAAAAAAGTTAAAGTCTGTTTCTGCAGAAAATGAATATAGGCTCATCCGAAACTTTTTTGTAGCAATGCTATCAAAATGGAAGGGATGGAAAAGACGGCACTGATGGAAGAAATGGCAGAGATGGCAGAGACGGGCTTCGAGGAGAAACCGGACCACCAGGACCAAAGGGGGAAGCCGGTGAGTTTCGGATACTATAAGTTCATTTTCTCACAGCGTGGGCATTTTTAATTGGGGAATTATTACATCGTATACATGGATGCAAAGTGAAAAGTTGTGTTTTAAAGATCCTTGTACTTCTATGAAAAAAAAGAACCTTTTTACTGTTGGCCTGCTGAATGGATTTTGAGTCATTTATCGAAACCTTTAACTAGAGGTGGATTTTAAAGCAATGCATGAACCTGTTGGGATGACTCAAACCCAGATCTTTTGTGAATGGAAGAAGGCGAAGTGAAGTGTTGAATCAATGGTAACTAGTAAGTGAGAAGAGAAAATTACGACCGGAAGTAAAAGAGGCAAATTTCAGCAGAGTATTTTCCAGGATGAACAGGATAAAAATTGACTGTAAAGTTGAAAATTACTGATATCCCTTGTTTAACATGCTGTTGAAGGCTCTATGAAAAGCAATTTACGGACTTTCATTTTTACGGACAGAAACTGAGAGTTCTGGAGAGCTTTTCCAAATTGTAAAAAATATCACATAATTACGATTTATTTATCTATATGTCAAAGTATGGCATTTTTGTCGTTCTGTGGTTATTCAATTCAGCTAAGTCTGCATAAGGTCAAATCACCTTGAAGTCTCATATTCATATACATATACAGGTATATATATATCCTAATTTATTCCAGGAACTCCTTGTTCCCCAAGAAACGTGAAACAATTTACATGGACAGATATCAACGACGATAGGGATGTCGGTTTAATTAAGGTAACAGGCACATTAAAAAAAACGCTTTTCAATTCAGAATTACATGCGTATAGTAAGCTTGTTAAGGGTCAATAATTGGCCAAACGCTGCATTTTGTATCGCTGGCAGGAAATAGCCGAATATTACAAAATTAAATTTGCTGGTTATTTTAGGCTATGATGTTTGCCACGTCAGTCTCAAACTGTAAATAACCAAATAATGAGATATCGGTTAGAATTTTATTTCACGGTGTTAGGGCCCTACCGTATTTTTATGCAAAAGGTAATTTGCTAAGTCCCACGAGTTCTCGTGTTCTCGTCTCGTGACATCCCGATTCAGGGGCCAAGTCGTTGTCGTGATGGACTGGCGTGCCTCATCCCGTGATTTTGCGTTACCAAGGTTGATGACGCTTTGGATGTCTCATTTGCATCCATGCTCGCTACCGACTGCTCCGTGACTGACCCACCCACCCTCTGTACGTGCGAGTTTCCTCTTTTAGTAATCAATCGCAACTTTAAAAAATTAAATCTGGCAGACAAACTGAAAGGATAGTCATTGCGCCTCGAACCAGCCTGCACAGAAGTCAGCAGAGTTACCACGCAGCCACGACGGCTCCGTTGATACGTAATGATCAGATGAATCCTTTCAACCTCGTCACGGAGAGCGCCAGATTTGGTGTACATGTGTGGACCTGCTGTTGCAATCGATAATCCGGGTGCCGCATTTCAGCCCACGCACACTCCAGTCCCCGACATGAACGGTAAAGTTCATAATGTACACGAAGTCGTGTTTGACAACCCGACTCGGAGCTCGGAGTTTGTTTTATACTAAGATTGAATAGGGCTTTACCCGTGATATTAAAGAGTACAATGGGATCAGAAGCGGTTCACAACAGGCGGGGTTTACTTTTAGCAAGGCCATAAGAGGAGAGAATAAAAAAAAAATACATTCAAGCGTTTAATTACTGGTGCGATTGCAGCCATGGAAATTTTGAGTAAAACATATTTGACAAATAATTCCGCCGAGGAGATATCGTTTTTCTACCGAACACGCTTAACAAGTGGTATGACGTGCTGTTATACCGGAAAAGCTACAGAATCAAAACAAGTTGGATCGTATTCATTGATAGGCCTGCTCTGTACGTTCCTAGTAAGAAGACTTTGGATGCTTTTATTTTCATTTGGTTTTGCCTTGAGATAACGTTTGGTTTCACCTTTGACGTTGTAGAGCACGATGACGTCCACAGCTGTTCACACCTCGGCGGTTTTAGTACTGAGTAGTCTTAACTCTTTCAAATGTCGACTGCTGACTTGCCCCGGTTACTGTATGAACATATGAACAGTCTTGAGAAGCAAGGGCCCAAGATAGGAAAGGGGGGAGGGGAATAAAAAGACAAAACGTGTGCCTGATAGAAAGAGTAGAGGTGACGCGACTTTTGTAAAATATCAAAAGTTTTCTCTCTGATAATCCCACCAAGAAGACAGCGCATTTTGATGAAATGCAAGCCATACGGAGTTAGTTATAGCTCAATTTAAGTTTAAGATCTGTGGCACCAATATAAGGACTTTTAACTGAGGAGAAAGCAAACATAATTGTCGACGCAGATGTAAACTTTCTAAAGTATACGGTATTTTTATGCAAAAGGTAATTTGGTAAGTCCCACGAGAGCCCTCATTCGTTCTCGTCTCGTGACATCCCGCTTCAGGTGCCAAGTCGTTGTCTTGATGGACTGACGTGCCTCATCCGGGACTCGAACCCGTGACTTTGTGTTACCAAGGTTGACGACGCTTTGGATGTCTCATTTGCATCCATGCACGCTACCGACTGCTCCGTGACTGACCCGCCCACCCTCCGTACGTGCGAGTTTCCTCTTATAGTAATCAATCGCAACTTTAAAAAATTAAATCTGGCAGAAAAATGAAAGGATAGCCACTGCGCCTCGAACCAGCGTCCGAGAGCCTGCCTGCACGCAAGTCAGCAGAGTTACCACGCAGCCACGACGGCTCCGTTGATACGTAATGATCAGATGGAACCTTTCAACCTCGTCACGGAGAGCGCCAGATTTGGTGTACATGTGTGGACCTGCTGTTGCAATCGATAATCCGGGTGCCGCATTTCAGCCCACGCACACCCCAGTCCCCGACATGAACGGTAAAGTTCATAATGTACACGAAGTCGTGTTTGACAACCCGACTCGGAGCTCGGAGTTTGTTTTATACTAAGATTGATTTTGGCTTTACCCGTGATATTAAAGAGTACAATGGGATCAGAGGCGGTTCACAACAGGCGGGGTTTACTTTTAGCGAGGCCATAAGAGGAGAGAATAAAAAAAAAATACTTTCAAGCGTTTAATTACTGGTGCGATTGCAGCCATGGAAATTTTGAGTAAAACATATTTGGCAAATAATTCCGCCGAGGAGATATCGTTTTTCTAACGAACACGCTTAACAAGTGGTTTGACGTGCTGTTATACCGGAAAAGCTACAGAATCAAAACAAGTTGGATCGTATTCATTGATAGGCCTGCTCTGTACGTTCCTAGTAAGAAGACTTCGGATGCTTTCATTTTCATTTGGTTTTGCCTTGAGATAACGTTTGGTTTCACCTTTGACGTTGTAGAGCACGATGACGTCCACAGCTGTTCACACCTCGGCGGTTTTAGTACTGAGTAGTCTTAACTCTTTCAAATGTCGACTGCTGACTTGCCCCGGTTACTGTATGAACATATGAACAGTCTTGAGAAGCAAGGGCCCAAGATAGGAAAGGGGGGAGGGGAATAAAAAGACAAAACGTGTGCCTGATAGAAAGAGTAGAGGTGACGCGACTTTTGTAAAATATCAAAAGTTTTCTCTCTGATAATCCCACCAAGAAGACAGCGCATTTTGATGAAATGCAAGCCATACGGAGTTAGTTATAGCTCAATTTAAGTTCAAGATCTGTTGCACCAATATAAGGACTTTTAACTGAAGAGAAAGGAAATATTATTGTCGACGCAGATGTAAACTTTCTAAAGTATAGGGGCCTATTTATGTCATTTAAATCACACCTACAAAATAACCAAATTAGCTCATAAATAAATTGTAAAGTTTCCCAACGAGTAACGACTCGTCAGTTTTTTAAATGAATAATGAATGTTTTAACATTTATTATTCATTAAAAAACTGACGAGTTAAAACTTTGCATTTAATTTTAGAAGGTGTGGTTTACCAAATCAACGGGAACATCCATGCTCCGTGTTGGTTTCCATGGCAATATTCGTGTCATGGCCACTGCTGGTAAATCTGTAGCCTGTCGCAGATATTGGTTTACTTTCAATGGCACTGAATGTGACAGCCCAACGTTTATAGATGGACAATTTTATGCTGACAATACATATAATGTCCACCATCATTCTACCAGTAAGTTAGAATACAATATAATACTACTTATGTTAAGTGGCACATGGAAAATAGAAAACTGAACTTAGCAAATTGCTACAGAAGAAGCAAAGCACATGGGCGCGTGGGCATACATGTGTGTGTGTGGGGGGGGGAGCTAACCATATAGAAAAAAATAGTGACGAGGTGACGAGGGGGCTCCCTAAGCATTCTCAAACCCCACTCTGCTTCCTGCACTAAAGACTCGTGGTTGATGCCAGAAGTGGTTGGGCTAAGTGATTCCCCTAGACTTGTAAGCTATGCCATATTTTGATGTTTTAATAAACAAAGAATAGATAAATGGATAAAAATGAAGAGTCAAAATACATGGGCCGTGTACGAATTAGTAGGTCAATGAAAACACCTAGCTGGTAATCAAGTTATGGAAATTAAAAACTTTTGCCTGCTAGTTTCTAATTTTTGGTATATTGTTCTCTCTGATAGTTCACAGTTCTTCTATTGGAATTTTTCAGTTGACGGAATCTGCGAGAACCTAGCAGCCGGAGAAGTGGTGATTGGTTTTCATGTTGGGCAATGCAGAATCCTTGCTTCTGAAACGGCCAATGCATACACAGGATGGGCCAGTGCTACCAGAATTATCGTGGAAGAGTTCTAAAAATTGCTCAAAAAAGCGTTTTTTACTTCTGCAACATTTTTCTACTGAATGACATAAATTCCCTTTACAGCAGAAGATTACACTCTTTCATAGTACTGTATGTCTCGAGAATTCAAGGAAATATACGTTGTATAACGTTGGGGATTTTTATTGCACTCAGTAAATTTGTTTCACTAATAAAGCTTTTTCTCCTCTACCATGGTTTTATTTTGTTTAAAGCAAAAGAAAAAATCCTACATTTTATATATAAGCATTTACTTTAACATGGACAAATGGCTTCGAATATCATACCAGTAAAGTTGCCTGTTCCAGTTTGGTTTTTCACATAGCCCACTAATTACATCATACCAGAAAATCGGGATTATTTTAACCAAAGTGACTACATGGGCTTATGGTTGACGGGACAGTGGTGTGCAGAGACTTATTATCATTTATATATAGTTTCTATTTCCATTACGTTAACAAGCAAACAAAAATTAGAGATTTTTATTATTTTTGAATGGAGAATCAAGCCCCAAAGGACCATAAATATTTCTTTAAAATTAGTGATTTTAACGAGCTTCTTGAATGCTCTCATTTCAGTGTACATTAACTGAGCTTTCTGCTGTATATTAAATGATATACACACTACTTTTTGTTGTAAAGTTAATTGCTTACACTTACACTAATTACAATTACTGTAGTAATAAAAAGGAAATCAAATAGATGAAAAGTTAGAGTGATATTGAGTGTAAAGTAAGTTTCATCAAGAGTCAACAAGTGTAGAACATGTTTTTAGTGGCAGAAAAAGATGGAAAAGGTCAAAGCCAATATCATTTAATGTGATTGGTTAATTTCATAACAGATTTTTATTTTGATCAACTGTTTATCACATGATAACTAAGTTTTGGACATGATTCAAGTATGAGTAATGCAAATAGTATTTTGGTTAAGTTTAGTTGAAAACGAGGCTCTTAGACATTGCCTAATAAGGGAATGTTCTATGGTAAAATCAACATGACAATGGAAAGTTTCTGGAAATCACGCCATAAACAACCAAGAGAACATAATTACACGCGTGATCAGTACGGAGAATTAGAGTATAAATATGGGTAAAATTGTATGAAAAGTGAGTGGTGAATAAATGATTGAAGACTCCAGAACCTCGTCGTCGTTATAATAATTTGATCAGCACCCTGGTACATTATATGGGGGAATGTGGGACGATTCTGACAGGAGCAAACATGTAGCTCCTGTACTCTGGTTAACAATGGGCGTGCTACTGTATATGTAGCCTACATATAGAAATTAATGGAATAAAAAGATTATTACATAGATTTTGGTTAGGGCCGACACAAAGCCTCCAGTGTTTATAACACTGGAATTCACCACCCTTGACTAATGTATACGATTACAGCTAGACCTATTGTGTATACTGTCTTGGCCTCCTACCTGCAGTTCTATCAAAATGTTGCCCATATGGTGGACATATAGTATTTGAGTTGTAACATATTTGTGTTAAGTACACACACAAAACAATCTGTTTTAGGCTTTCTTCTTTCATTCTTTTTTTTTCTTGGAGAGCCCCCCCCCCCCCCCCCCCCCCCCCCCCCCCCCCCCCCCCACCACCACCACACAGACACATTTAAAAAACAGTAGAAAAAAAGAAAACAACTTATATATAGACCTATAGACTGTTCTTCATTGTACACTACTGTACATGTAGCTACACCCCTTCTTGTCTTTGCATACGAAAAGACGTAAAAAAACAGGACACACCAACATGTGCCTGATCACGCTCGGCTGCCACCTTGATTAGTTACCTGTAATATACCTGGACTGTATACCACATTAAAAGATTTTACATATAGAACATCACAGTACTATATACAGTCTATTGTAATTTTTAAACACGATTAAAACATATTTACTGTTTTATCAAATAATTTATTGTGATTTTATAAAAAAAATAATTAATCCATTATGATGGCTTTTTTCTTGCACTGTGTAGACCAGTGTTTTTACAGCATGTATACATCGTACTGTACATGCGTGTGGTTATAAGTTCATCGACCAATCAAGGTAACAGCTTAACGTGTGTACATGCTCAACGTGCTATGGCTTGGGGAATTCACCACCCTTGACTATTGCCCACAAAAAACAATTAAAAGTTCAGATGTAAAGGTTTGCCTCACCACATGCGAATGGCATGGTATGGACACAACCAAGGGTACGTAAAAAGTGATTTAGAGGCAGCTGTAGTATGGTGCTTGTCCTGACCAGTCCTCTCTATGCTGTATCGATGACATGTTTTGATAGAAGTCCACCGCTTATAACATATATATAAGTATTTTCTTTTGTATCCTCTGAGTATCGACGAACAAAAATGAAGATCTAATACACAAAAGGTTGTTTGATTTATGTCTAAATAAAGAAAGCTTAATAGATGAAATCATTTGAATATGATAATTTTTCAAAATTTTCTTTTGGGCCTAAGAGGCACTATATCTTCATTTTCAAGATGGAGGTTTTCGATAGGAGCAGCTGGTCTTCTTATCTGACTTCTTGGTTATATTTATTGGTCGTTACGCTCTTAATTTTGGTCCAATGTTGGGCTGAAGATGTGGTGAATAACCAGAAATTCAAAATTGACGGAAAGGTCACCATCCCCTCAAACGTTGAGCGAGAATGGGTCTCCTCAACCCGTGTGACGGTAGACGGTGGACAGTACATCGGGTTTTTAAAGTAAGCTTTTCAGGCGTGTGTCGAGTCAGTTTGCTTTAAGTGAGTTTGTAGTTTTGATGTTCAGCTTTTAATTGCTGATTTACTGATTTCATTTTTGCACCACTAAGCAAAAAATGTTGACCAGTTTTCACTTTAGCTAATTTTGATAAGCTGCCTATGTACTCAAAACGCAAATAGTCCCTTAGTTAATCCATTATTTCACTGCATTTCAAATAGTGAGAGTATCTGGTGATATGACTTATTTTAATAGGTCTGATGGGACTTTCTCTGTACACCTACCATCTGGTTCCTACGTGTTGGAAGTATTGAACCCAAACCATGTATTTGAACCAGTTAGGGTGGATGTGACATCAAAAGGCAAAATACGTGGAAGGCGGGTAAATAATGTGCAAAGTTCTCAAGTGCAGCAAGTCCCATACCCCTTGAGGTTCAAAGCTAAGGGTAAAGCATCCTACTACATGCCCAGAGAACAATGGAGGGTAACAGATCTCCTGATGAATCCAATGGTAAGGAGATAGGAATGAATCGCCCTAACGGTGCCGTTTGTTCCCCATTCTAAATTTATTTCATTCCTTTGTTATGCTGGGTGGTTTATTTCGCAACGTATCATTGCTTTTAAATTTTATAAATGTTTGTTCAAAGGAAATTGGCACTGAAACATGTTAGTTTGGGTAAGACCAAACTCTGAATTTGAATGAGAGGGATGAACACATGCAAAGAAAAATGATTCTCTATACTATTTTAATAATGTTTTTTTAAATGAAGTGTTAGGTTAGATGGATCCCACAGTCACTGTGGCTTTATTTTATCTGGCTTAACACCTTGTTTGACATGTTAAAATGGACTGAGCCTAAAATTACTTTGATGTATTAGTACTGTATTCTTACACATTTTCTTGGTACATGTTAGTTTATAATCAGCTAATGGAGAAGTTAATTCAGAAACCAGATTTAAAGGAATATATAATTGATTTTTATCCAGAAAAAAGGAATATAGTGGAAGCACTTTCTTATATGTGTCTAGTCCATATATCGTGTTTGTATTATAGCATGTTTTAGTAATCCTGCCTTACTTTTATCATGTCTATTTCAGGTGCTTATGATGGTATTACCTTTGATATTCATAGTAATTCTTCCAAAGTTAGTAAATACAAATGATCCAGAGACACAGAAGGTAAGTGGTTAACGTGCGTTGCAAGTAACATTATAGTCATTACTTTCGTAAGTGTCACTGCCATATCTATAGGCCCATTAAAAATTAATTTCAAAGGAAAATTAATGCTTTGATTTATAGGTCAGGC